ATACGGGGAATCCGAATATCACGTTTAAAAATTCGAAAAGATTGATAGCGGAAAAATAAACGCGTTTTTTGAAAATTTCAAAGTTTTTGCGTTTTTTGACCTCCCTCCAGTATTTTGCATTTTTCACCCTCAAAACTCAAACAAATCGAACTAAAAAGGTGATATTCGTAATCAGCACAAAATTCTGCATCGGATGATGTGTCTTTCAAGGAAAAATGAAGAGTGCTTGATTTTTGAATTAGCGGCACCTTATAAGGTTATGTTTAAAGCAGATTCGTCACCTCGATATCATATCTCGGAACCATTGGTTGTTCTAGTTAAATTATTTAATGATGATCGTACATTGGATTATATAATGCAACATGCACAAGTTGATCTCAATACTTTGTCAACTGTTGAATTCTTTGTTAACTTATTGTTGGAATTTTACACCACCGTCAATGATCAGACACCATTAAAACAATTAACGTGTACGGCACTTGTTAACATACTGTGGAGTGTATCATTCCAAAAACAATATCAAGATGAATTACAGGGAAATCAAAAGTTTAAAGCATTTATTGAAAATATAGAAAATGCTAAAGTGTTAGATAAAATTGTTACCACACAATATGTACCAAAATATATTGAAAATATTCGTACAGCAGCCGGTGGTATCCTATTGAATATTAATGCAACAATGCCAACAGTAAAAGTCGAAAAGGAACAGCAACACCGACATCCATCGTCAACGACAGAAGCAGTAAGAGGAGCACGAGTACCAGCCCTCGTGCAGCGGACTGACTCGAACAGCAGGCCGATGATTATGATCAGTTATTCACATGGAGATAAAGATTTTTGTTATCAACTTCATGATGGATTAAAATCAAAATTTGATATATGGATTGATATGAATCATCGTCAGACAGGTGATCTGTGGCAAAAAATAGCCGAAGGGATGGATAAATCAAATGTTATCCTATGTTTAGTATCAGAAACATATTGTCAAAGTAAATCATGTCGACGAGAAGTAACATATGCATTAGATGCATTAGATGAATTAGAACAACCAGTTATACCTTTGTTTCTACAACAATACAAACCACCCAGTTGGCTAAGTAAGTTAATGTTCACAACGTATCCTACGTATATTATATGCCGGGAACTAGTCTAATCTGGGAACTGAGTACGACTGTGCATTCTTTTCAAACTTGGAGTTTTCTGGGTTTAAGAGGACACTTATAGGATCGAATAGAAGCGGTATAATGCACTACTTCTTGTACGTTCGTTTCACTTCGCAGAAATTAGAACATCCGGTTTGAAATATGTTCGTTTTCGTGATATAAAACAATTGGAATCTGAAAAATTATCCGAATTAGTTCAGATGATTGAACAAAATTTATCATTACCGTCAAGCGTCGACTATGATAATAATGATTCTCGTAGTTGCGCACCATCACATTATGAACCAGCAGCGCCACCGCCAACAACAACATCGACAACAACAAAAGAAAAAACTGCAGAAGAAAACAAAGTGAAACAAGAAACATATATCGGGTCTGTATCTCTATTTCTATTCAAGTTGAGGCTGTGACTCATATCGTTGTGATACTCACGAACTTCTAATAGTTCAGATATTGTCTAAAACCTACTAAACGTTTATTTCATTTTCATTTTCATTTTGTCCCCGTCTGATATCTTTCCAAACGCTTTGCACTACTCTTTCTTCTTGATCTGATCTAAGAATGTTTTATCTCTAGGATATCCGAACTTTATCAAAAACCGGTTGAACAGTGGAATAAAAATGATGTATCGCAGTGGTTTGAATATAATGAAATTTTAGTTGAAATACAAGATTTGTATAAGTTCAAAGATGGTAGTGAGTTACTGAGTTATGCCCCATCACTATTAGCTGATGAAAAATTACAGTATCAAATTTATTCTAAAACATTTTCAAAGAAAAATAATGGCGAAGATTTGCTACCGCATGAGTATACAAAGTTTGTTAATGCTTTACGAAAATTATATGAAAAAACTATTGAGAAATCAAAACCGGTAAAGGTAGCAGTACCAGCAGATGCTAAATCACAAACATGTCAGATTTTATAAGTGATCGCAGTGGCGTGGGCTTTGGTTAGGAGTTTTCTGAATGATTTTTCATTAATAAATGATTTTTTTCTAGTACCTCTTGTCAAATTTAACAGTCGTCTATATAGCAATAGGTTGGTAACCTGACCAGATGATCAAACATTATTCTCTATTAGAGAGCTTTAGAGATGGGGTGATAATCGAAATAGGTTTAAAAGTTGTCAAAGTCCAACTCTTAGAGTTTAATGAGTTATATGCCTTCTATTTCATCGTTAGAATTATTCATTTTTCTATTATTTGAAAGTCCGGTTCAATTTTTAGTTTTGAGGGCAATGAAAAAACAACTCCAGTTGTGTGTAAAAATAGAGATAAAGGCGCTTTCTTTACAGTACAATACAATACGATCTCTTAGATCCTCTTTGGCGCGCATTACAGCACGTCAGAAAACTTTGAGTTTTCTATGTTTTTTGCTTTGTGCTTATCTTCAGAATATAGAAAATACACGCCATTTCTGTCTGCTCGTCCAGAAACAAGATGGATCTCACGTCGAAAAGCTCCACAAGAAAAACCACAAGCCTTTTTCTTAAAACGAAAAATTTTCGTGTTTTTGAGACCTTTCCAGTATTTTGAGTTTTTTCTACATGAAGCAACGTTTTTTTTTTTACTGGGAAGATGATATTCGTGATCAGGTCGTTGAACTGGCCACGGGTGAAGTGAAACGATCTTAATAACTTAGCTCTTTTCTATGTGACAGATTTCTCAGAGTTCCGCCGGTCGATCAAACGTCGATAAAAAAGTTAAGTTTTTCCGACATTTTTTACGTGAGTATTTCTTCGTTAATTTGCATATACACTGGTAACGAAAATGTATCTGGTGTACTATGATACAAAGAAGATCTTTTCTCTTGAAGTTCGATTGAAATTCTCTACAAACTGAGTGAGATTTATTTTGATATTTCGACAGTATCTTCTGTCATAATCAGAAATAAGATTATTTTTGCATAGTAGAAAATGTTATACATTTAAAATTCACAAAAGAGAAAAAGAGAGAGAAAAACCAAGAAGCCACGTTGTGTTTTCTATCTATGTTATGTGTGTGTGCGTGTATATAAGAACGTTCTTAGAATCTCACCTCAAATCAGAACGCGAACGTTTGATTAGAACGTTGGAAATGAATGGCTATCCAATTCATATAATTAGACGTGGTATAAGAGAAGCAGTTATTATTTATAAGAAATTGAATTCCTCTTCATCATCTCAGCCTCAAACTGTAAAAAATGAAATCTATTTCGTTTTCTCTTATTATGGGCAAGAAACTATCGAATTAGAACAGAAGATTCGCAAACTCACTCAGAAATGACTTCCAAATGTAATAATAAACCAAGCTTATCGAAAATCATTTACATTAAAAAACGTGTTCTTACCATTACAAAAAGGAAAAGATGAAACACGAACGAAAAAGAAATTAGTTTATTCTGTTCAATGTAAAAATTGTGATCTAAAATATATTGGTGAAACGAATCGTGATAAGCAAACAAGAATGCGTGAACATAAAAATGACATAAAGAAAAATAAACAAACATCACTAATAGCTCAACATTCGAATATGAATAATCATAAGATGGACTTAGACAATGCTGAAACCCTTACACTAGAGTCAACCTGGAAACGACATGTAATAAACGAGAGCATATTAACACATCAATCAAAAGGTTTGGCAATAAATGAAACTAAATATAAACTTAAAGTATTTGGATGAGCACTCAATGAGTGCATTTCACTGTGATTAGTTAATCATGATATTTACAGCAGTTTTATATTTCATTTTTCAAATAAATTCTGGTTGCTGATGGTATTATGGTGGCTTGTGTTGTTAAAAGCATTTGACAAATAAAACAAATTGATAAAATAGTAACAACAGCTGTTTTTACATTCATGTTTATTTAATAAGAATTAAAACTAAAAAATATTTTTAAAAATTTTAGCTGATATACTAATATTATTAACGATTCTTTAATTAGTAACCGATAACAGTTTGAATCCGTTAATAAAATTTTAAAGTCTTCCCATTTAATAGTATGATGGGTATCAGAAATATGTTTTAAAAGCGCTGACTTTAAATTTTGCTTAGAAACTGCTACGTCAGATAATTCCGTCTCTATCTTGCCAGTTATCTCATCATCGTCTTCTTTATTTGATATAGGCCGTTTATTGGCAAGTCGAGAAGAACGTCTTAAATTAGATTCATGAAAAGGTGAAAAACGATTTTTAACATTTTTAGATTTTCTTTGAGAAGCATTTAGAGTTGTTGTTTGAGAACACATAGTAGAAGATAACTTAGAAATGGAAATAATATTTCATTGGTTTCATTGGTTAAAACATATTTCTGATACCCATCATACTATTAAATGGGAAGACTTTAAAATTTTATTAACGGATTCAAACTGTTATCGGTTACTAATTAACGAATGGTTAATAATATTAGGATATCAGCCAAAATTAAATAACACAGTACGTTTAGTTCCCCTTTCATATATCCCAATGGAATTTTTCAAAAATTGTTACCCGATCCAGGAGGATAACTCATCGTTTTAACAGAATAACACCTCAAGGCATTTTTAACCTTTTAAAGAGTTGTGACATTTCATCATCTTTTCTTCGTTCATCATCTCAGTCAAAAACAAATATTTCTACAAGCGAGACGACTTTTGTGTTGGTTGCATGTGACGACAAAATGTCATGAACGTCGAAATCTAATGACCAAACAATATTGGGATGAAATCGATAAAGAGATCCATGCTGTACAATTGAATTTTAGCGACAAAGTATTTGATCATGGAAGAAATCTTCTAATGACTAAATGGCGTTCTGATATATCATTGACTAAGTTTTGTGACTATTTTTATGATCAATACCCCTCACCCTCACAAATTTTCGAACATTCTTGCCACTCCTAATCAAACACGCGCGTCTTTGCCTCGAATGCCTCACAATCGTGTTCGATTGTGAGCTGTTTGGGACCACAGGCATTATTCTATTAGTACTGCATGCCATTAAACGATAATCATCTCACTCATATTTCAATTCAAGTCGAAACAGTCGCGTTTGCCCTTCTTCTGTATCTTCTCGATACTTCTCCTCATCTTTAATATCTGTATTTGGGCTTTGTGATGCATTTTCCTGATATTGGCTTTAATCGTTCTCGTTACGTGGTAAGAACGCCGCTCAAATCGCCGCTCGTTTAACTAAATTTTTCCTCCAACAGCCTCTCGCATTAACAAATTGATTTGCGTTTGTGTACAAATTGTTATCACGTTCAACAACTCTCGCTCCGCTCCTATGACATCGAGTCTTCCTTGACTCCTCTTTTCTGGCAGAATATGCTCGTTCATATAATGCCTCAGACGAATCAAACTCTTCTTTGCAACCAAGACGATTGTTGATGAGACGAAGAAAGCTTTTCAATCGTCTGACTTCTTTATGAATAAGTGTAACAATGTGTTTCTCAATACATCAGAGTATCCTGTGCAAATATCTGCCGTTCTGCTACGTTAATCATGCACTTCTCTTTTTTCCATTACTAACAGAAACCCGAAATAAATTCTTGAGGTTATTCATGTGTGTAAAGCTTCATCCGTTTTTTTCATGAAGCACTTCTCAGGCAACTGTAATTATTATGGATCCACCTCCTTATAAACTCTCAGAACAGCACACCACCTCTCGGTTTCATATCTTTTTTGAATCTCGAAATTCGAACGCCAGTTTCCGAGATACCGAAAACCCATTGAGAACTGGGGTTGACGGAAAACAGCGAAAGGAAAATGTCGAAAAGGAAAATGTCGAAGAGGAAAATGTAGAAGAACAAAATGCCGAAAAGGCAAACGTCGAAAGCGGATGGATAATGGAAGAAGGAAAGTATCGAAAGGAAAACGCCGAAAAGAACGAGCTTTCTTTCTGTTCCTTTGAAAATCACTGAACGTGGGGGTGAGGTGAGGGTGAGGCGTTCATCGTAGCAACTGTTATGATCTGCCATTCTTGGCAGCTCATAAGACTGTGTTTTCTTCTTCTTCTCCTTTCTTTCTATTATTGCGCAACTCTTGTTTCATTCTTTCGTTTTCGTTTCTTTCTGTTATTGTGCAATTCTTGCTTCATNAACTTGTGTACTATATATAGCCGTTCACTTTCTTAAATAAAGATGAGAAGTGAGTGAGTAGAACCTCACAGCAACCACACTGAACTTCATCATACTTTACTTTTTCGACGAGTGGCTATAATTACTACGAGGTTGGAGATGTCTGATGAGAACCAATAGTACTTCTAATGATAATAATACGTATATCTCATTCAGTGATTTTCAAAGGAACAGAAAGAAATCTCGTTCTTTTCGGCGTTTTCCTTTCGATACTTTCCTTCTTCCATTATCCGCTTTCGACGTTTGCCTTTTCGGCATTTTGTTCTTCTACATTTTCCTCTTCGACGTTTTGCTCTTTTTTATCGACATTTTCCTTTTCGACATTTTTTCTTTCGATATTTTCCACCAAGACCTGAGAACTCACGTTTTTGTATTTTCAAAATTTAAAACGCAATAGTGCAAAGATCGATCAAGCAGATTGCTTTCGTTCGAACAGATCTTTCGAAGAAAGGGGGGTTTTGATTCTCGCGGGTCCACAACTAGTGGTATTGAATTGTTATTTCAAAGAATGCTCAGTGCGACATGTGGAATGAGAATGGAAGACTCGCTCTGTTATTGCTCGTGGATTTTGTTGGTATAGTAAAACTGTATTCGAATTCAAGCGGGAAAACTGGCAGATGTACTGTAGCATAATCTGAACAAAAATTAAAACGAAGTCTAATTGTTAGAATAAACGATAATAAAAGGTTCTTTGTCCAACTAATGATGCGTTCAGAAATTTAAACATTCTATTTCGTATCCACACTACCAATCCAATCGTTCATATTGGCAACGCAACCACCATCCACAACATTGGGATGATATGCTTCAATGCTAGCTCTTGGTATTGTTTCCCCATGTGTAGTGTACCAATATGTGGCACCCATGTTAGCGATTGGAATTGGATCAAGTTTGTCTAGACCCAAGTAGTCACCAGTTTTCTTATCAGTATACATTATGATAGGGAAGATACCAGCAGCATCAATTGCATTACCAATCCATACTTTTACAGTCACTGGTTCCATTTTGTCAATGCCCCATTTATTTGTGATCACCCATTCACCAGCATAGTCCAAGAAGCGAGAGTCATAATTATAAGCTTCACATTGATAATCGCAAGATGCTGACCATGTGCATGTTTTTGAATTAGTGTCATACATAAAAAATCCAGTGCCATTGAAATAAAATGAAGTGCTACCTGCACTAACAATCAGCAGCTGATTTACATCATCCATGATCCATGTAGAAGTTGTTACAAAGTTTAATAATTGGATTCCAAAGATACCGTTTCCATAATTACTTGGCAATGGATTAGGTAATTTGTGAGCATTTGGATTCTTATTTCGACATTTGCTGCTCCTTCGAATTGCACAGATTTTCAAATATCCAGAATCTTTGATTGTAATTCCAGAAGTAAACTTGTGGTGAGCTGTGCCGAATGGTGGTTGATTCTCTGTCAGATCTTGTGAAGAAGGGAAAGGAGCACCAGAGAGTATAATATCCATTGCATACAATTTACCATTCAAAGTATTGACGTGCAACACGACCAATTGTGTATCTGGTTTAGTGTTGCAACCAGGAGCTACACCATCGTAGCCAGATGGGGGACACTGGTAATCCAAATCATAATCACCAATTGTGCCCAGAACAGTCAATGCAGCGATTTGAGCATAGTATGTTTCGTTTGTATCAGGATCCATGTATGTAGTGTAACGCGTAGTCAAAGTTTTGATCTGAGTCCAATTAAAGGTAAAGCAATTATCAGAAACACTACCATTTGCATTCGAATCCACACTAACTCCAAAACAGGAAGATGGAATTCGCTGCATGTAGAAAAGACCATCATATTTTGAATTCTTCATCGTGCATCGGGAAGATTGACAACCGAGACCTTCAATATGAGCATGAAGGTCAGATACAGATGTGAAAAGAAGAGATGGGACACATGCGTGATTGATGACAACAGGAAGAGAGAAAAGAGAAAGACGTTGAATCAAACTAACCTGTATGTTTGGTGAGAAGAAGAGCCGAGAGCGCCAATCCAATTAGGATGTTGGTCATAGGCGACATGTTTATTTTGTTGCGATGTGGCGAGGGTTAACCGTGCCTGATTTCTGTGTATGGGCGTTGAATGAATGGAGATATCTGTGTTGTTTCTAGAGACAAAAAATACACTTGGTCATAACTCTCTTCATTAGCTATTGAAGAAGAGCCATACCCAGGTCTAAGACTCCTACAATAGGTTTATATAGGATTTTGTCTGATCTTGTCTGATCTTATACAGCCAGAATCAGATGATTCTAAGCTGGGATAAGCCCAAGACTTATAAGTACTCGCTCACACGTCGTCGAACAGTATAGCGAGACTTTTTCGGAGACTTACCGAGGACTTCATCAGGGAAAGTATACTAGGGTTGTTTATCAGTCTTAGGAATATTACGCAACCTTCGATAGCGGTAGTAACACAATCATGGCTCATGAGTTCGTCCGAGAATGCTAAATTTGTTAAAAGTAGTTATCATCCGGTTATACGTCATCATCGTGTTGAAAGAACAGGAAGCGGCATACTTTTATTTTATTCTTGCGTGAAGATAGTGTAGTTAGCAGATTTAAAACTCTGAGGATGGAAAACTATCTAGACATTCGATTGTTGGATGGAAAAACTTGCTTAACGAGTATCTATTGCCGCCTGACTATACCATGTAAAGTTTAATGAACACCTGTCTGATGCATTAAACAAAATACGCTCGAGCATAAATCGACGCTGCCATTCTCTCATTCTTCCACGTGACTTCAACAATCATTCAGCTAAGCGGTGTCCTAGCAAACCGTCTACTGATGAGGGAGATGCTTTTCTGATTTTGCTTCAAGTGAAGCAATAAGTCAAGCAGCCTACAAGAATCAAGTTTAAATCGTGTCCTGATCTGATCTTAACGTTGAATAGTGGTAGTGTCTCAGTTTCGGATGTAACAGTTGGCATACCTTTATGTATGCCTTCTATCATTCTATTGTCTAGTTTAACCTATTTTCACAGAAACAGCTACGAATCAGATATAAGCGAAAACTGTATGATTATAAGAACACTGACGGTGATGCACTGCTGTTTGATGCAGTAGTTCGTGAGAAAAATGACAAAAAATAAATTCTTATAATACAAATAACTTCTTACACACTGAATTTTAACAGTTTTTTTCACTTTATTTTCGAATCAGAAGTGTACATATCTCCCACGAAGGTTGAATCAGAAAAAACAGTAGCACCCGACAACAGCGAAAGAATGCTAAAATATGCCTTTCAATCGATTGACATAAAAAGGTAATGTTCTCTTGTAAAGCTTCGAAAGCAAACAGAACAGAAATAAGACGAATAAACCTGTATGTAATTAGTTTTATATATTGGTACCAGAAATATAATGGAAAAGGACAGTGAAGACAGAAACAAAACAACCAGGAACAATTTTAAAAATAACAAACACTGACACATAGAAAGAAAAAAAATAAGTTTTAATTATATCGTTTCAAAGTCATTTTTCTTCGTCATTCACTAGAACATTTCCAGGTGGTCCAGTTACGAATATCTAAAAAGCAAAGATTGCAAATGATGGCATACAGTTAGGCCTACTACTCTCTTTTTGCAGAAAGCTTCTAACAGAAGTTGTTTTTCTAAAATCTTTGTAACAGCTGAGTTCTATAGAGCAAAGATTTTTGTACAAGATGAGCTATGAAGAAAGCTTTGCCGTAAGGGTCCATACTTACAGGACAGATTCAAGGCTGACAAAGTGGACTCCAGCAATCTTTACGCGGAAAACTGCTTAGACAGTAAGCTGGCACCGTAAAAGTAACACATGATGGTATTTCAAACACACTTAGGTGATATTCGTCAAATGCCGCTTTATATTTTTCTTGTTAATAACATTTAACAATATGAGTATCAGGCTTAATTTGCATTACAGTAGAACAAGCTTCACAAGTCCAATATTTACTTCACTTTTGATATAAATCACCTTGAAATAACAGAGCTCCGAGGAAAAAACACAGTTACAGTTCAGTGGTGCAGAATTTGCATTTGTCGCAAACTGAAAATGAGATAAAGCAAAAATATGGTTCATACATCAATAAACAAACCAGCTTGCTGGTTTGTGACTTGCTGCAGCAAGTCAGAAAATATTACGACAACCTTTTTTGAAATCTAGCTTAGGAGATATGAAGTGACTTTTAGTGTCAGTAACACAATATTCATCTCTATCAGACATTATGATGACGATGGCTTTGAAGGAGAACGAGGTTAGCAAGGCAGGAAGAAGCAGATAAGTATACGGATTTTGAGAACTCTCACAAACTTTGAGAGTTCTCAACCCTCAAAATGTTTGGGAGGAAGTAGAATTTTCGATATTAAATAGATATTAATATATGTGACATCTTTCCGTCGTTTCCTGCATTCGATTTCATGTTAAAGGAGGGAAGCGGATATGGTCATTTTCCATCCCACAATATTTTGCAAAACCAAATACATATTCAAAATCAGCATCGAATTCGGCGTCGGATGACGTATAAATTTCGGTCGGAAAACCACTTTCGATTGTTTCGAAAAAATTTTCCTTCTGTCCTAGGGAAATCGAAAAATCGATACTCTCAAATTTTAATGAAAGACACAGCATTCGATGTAGAACTGCATGCTAATAACAAATACATTTCAAATGTCGTTCTGGCATTCTTTGATTGTACGGTAGACAAGTACCACCATTCTTGCAAACGACTTCTTCACAAGATGCTGCTTCAGGAACAGAACGAACCAGTTTTTTCTAAAGGAAACGTAGCCTGTTTGAGTACATATTGATTGAGGAGAACAATGGCATTCGTGACGAACCTGACAGAATTCATCAAATCAACCATCATTGCACAATAATGCTCATTTAAATTTGCACATTAATAGGATTTTGCATTTTGACACTGAGTGCTATCACATGGTCTCGTTTTAGCTAGTTTTTCTGGTATGATTAAATCAACTGTTAGTCTATTGACGGGTAAAAATGTGAATGGAATTGTATAATACGAGCTTGTTCGAAATTGAATTGTATTATGTACTCGATGAATAACACAAACATCGAGACAATTTTCGTCAAACATACATAATTAAACCAATGAATTCATTTTTATATTGACAACGATTACTATAGCAGACTGGTGAACAAAATCAATCAAATTTTTGATCGAATGTATGAACTAGCATACCTTGGTTACAATACTAATGCAATAACAAATCATTCTCTTTGTCATTTGTTCGTTAGCTTTGCAATGCTGTCGTTGTCGTCGGTGGTTGCTTACCGTTTCGAACTGGCATGGGGAATATGGGACAAAATTGTTTTCAATGGCAAAATATTTCCGTTTCTGTTTACTCCATTCACTTACGAGGGAACATATGTAAGTGTTCCCTCGCTTTTTCAACGAAACCTAGTGGGTTATAGGTTATCGATGATGCTGATTCCGAATATGGATATGAGAGCTGTCCTTAGGGTTTCGACGACCAGGTTTTCTGGAAAACAACCAAAGCTTTTCTTAATAAGCCATGCTTGTAGCCCGTACATTTCTGATTAAAATGAGACCTCTCCCAACTCTACATGACCTTTCTTTGCAAAGTTATAGAATTTACAAGAAAAGCCCTAAATATTCATTGTCAACTCGAA